TCCTGTCAGGAGCTGTGCAGAGCCAGAAGGTTCCCCCTGAGCCTCCTTTTCTCCAGGCTGAGCCCCCCCAGCTCCCTCAGCCCCTTCCTCAGCTCCGTTCCCTTCTCTGGACACGCTCCAGCCCCTCCATGTCTTTCTTGGGGCTTCTTTGCCCCATTTCTTGTTCTGTCTTAGATTCTGGTTGGAAAACAAAATGTCCTTGAAGGTTCTCTACTTGAAAACCAGTCTTTCAGGAATGTATTAGATTAGCTTATTACTCTAAGGTCTAAGAGAAAGGGTAGGAAAAATACCAGGAGCTATATAACCATGCATTATCAGTCCAGAAATCTATGAATATATGAAAAATGTATAAAAAGCTAAAATCTTTAGGCATCAAACCCATGATGATATGGGTTGGCTGATCCCCTTTTATACTCCCAGACAGATTTCTTTCTATTTCTGATTCTGAAGAGCAGCAATGGAAAGGGCTGTAGCTGGCATAAACTGCAGTCCAGTTCAATGATGGGGGACATAGGTACCTTGAGAAGAATGGTTTTGTTTAGTGCAGCTATAACTTGAGTGAGATTCTGTGTGGGACAAAATGCTTTACTCCCTGACTTTAGACAAGCAATAGCTGACTGGACAAGTTGTGGTTTTTTTTTAAATGTATAATCTGTACCTGCAGCTGTTTCACATTATATTATTGCTGTGCTGCACTCCTGAAACGTGACCTCCTAATATGTCCAATGCACATTAATGTGCAGGCAGGTTTTGCCTAACAATCTACCTGGAAGAGGTTGAAGCTGAGGTGGAGAATTGCCTTTTGAGGCAATCTCCTGACATGATTACGTGGGGACAGGAGTATATTCACAGCCAAGGGCATGAGATCTACCTGACCACGAGTGGCTAATAGGGGTGCCCTGTTGTTTCCTGATTTCTGATTCTATCTCAGTCAGCAGAGCTCTCTGTGAAACCCTGCATTTACCCAGAGACCCTATTATGACTGTAGAACAGAACACAGAGTGATAGAGTTGTCCTAGAAATCAATGGGGCTAAGGGTAACTGTGCAGCTCTTTTTGATGCAATGAAGTCCTTGAGCATGATTTTAAAACCCATGACTTGTCATCACAGCAAAGTCTTTTCCTGCATTGTTGTCCTTGGTACAGTGTGTGAAAACAAGGGGAAATTAGGCACATTGGGAAGACTTTCAGCTGGAGGTTGTGAGCTCCTGTTGGGGGAATGTATTAGGCAATTTAGGCACGTTTTTTTCATGTGGGCTTTAAAAAGATGGGAGATTGGAGCTGCCAGAGGATGCATGCAGGAGGGCAGGCTACAACTGAGGTAACAACTTACTGTGCTGGGCTGGCTTTAGACCTGGTCAGCCTTGAATAGATGTGGAAAGGGGAGGAAGAAATGTCATTCTGTTAGAGCAAGCATGCTTATCTGCTATTTCTATGTTCCTGCATGTTGTATGTTATGGTTTTTTGGTTTAGCCTGATAGATTTGTGCTCTCTTTTACTGTGGGGGCGTGTTTGGTTGGTGAGTAGCAACTGGAAGAAAAATTAACCCAAGGATATGTTTTTCAAGGTGCCTGTGCTAGAGCAGCCCTTAGCCTGCTGTTCATCATTCCTGGTAGAAAAATAACCCACAGAGTATTTTGGGTGAATGCATTCTGGTTTGCCCCATGCGAAATTTGCCATGGGAGTTGATGCCAAAAGTAGAAACTCCTGCAGCTAATTTGGCAGATCTAATTTTAAGTGGATTGGAGCAGTTGGTGTGAATTTACTCCATTAGTGTTGACACCTGGTGCAAGACAGGATGAGCATCCACAGATGTGAACATCCCAGCTAAAGCTTCAAGAGTAAAACCATTTCCCTTTGAATATCTGATACCAAGAGATGTCTGTAACCAGCCAGTGGCTGCTGTCTCTGAAGGACCTGTGACAAAATCTGGGACACCTGGATATGATGAAGTCATGGATGTCTACTGTAAATGCAGGCGAACCCAATGGGAAGAAATGATAATGTCTGACTCAATTCAGAAGGCTGAATTATTTCTTTATTATAACCATGCTAAAATACATCAATATACTATATAAAAGGAGGATGCTAAAACTACATACTACTTTCTCTGACTCAACCACAGCTCATGACCCTCTCTCAAGAGTCCAGCCCCAGGTGGGTTGGATTGGCCATCAGGCTCAAACAATCCTCACCTGAATCCAATCAAGCACTCACTCCAGGTAAACAATTCTCCAAACACATTCCACATGGGAAAAACAAGGAGCAGAAATAGAAATTGTTTTCTCTTTCATTTCTCTCTGTGCACCTCTATGAAAAATCCTGAGAGGGAGAGAAATGTGCTTGCCACAGATGTCAAGACAAGCTTGAAGGTACAAATCCTGACTCTTCAATCAGAAGGCAAATTAAGGCAAACTTTTAGCCTGTTGATGTCTTTAATAGATTTATGGACCTGACTCAGAGTTCTTAGAGCTGTTAGGATGCTACTTACCCAGCCCTTGCTGCAGAGCATGTCAGGGTGTTGTGGATTATTAACAAGGATAGAAAAGAAAGGTTTTTTGCCCCAGCTCTCCTCAGCAGGAGACTTCTGCCAGCAAGAGACAGATGAATTTCTTCTTCAGGGAATCGATCTCTATGTGTGTGGGTTTGGCTGTGCCACAGATCTCCCAGAGAACATGTCTTGGTGTGTTTTATTTATCAGTGTTGCTGCAGTTTGAGCACCCGTGTTTTTCTCCAGGCTGGTGTTTGGTGTGGGCACCCTCGCTGTGTGGGAGGGGGGCTGCCCCAGCTGTCAGTGCCAGGTCCCACACACTCTGTGGTCCACATGCACTTCTCATCCTGTCCTCTATTGAGTAGTTAGTGTGCTAATGTGAGGGAGAATCATGACTCGGGCCACTTTAAAACAATATAGTACTAATGCATTAGCCAAAAATAGCTCTGCCTTGCAACCAGTTCATTAAAGCAGTGCTTTAGGATACTGTATTGGACAGAATAGCAATAATTCTGTGGATAATATGTGTGTGTAAACAGTTCAGTGGCAGTATTTTTACCAAACAGAAAGGAGGTTTTCCTCCTAAATAGAATAGTGTGCTGTTTATAGCCTCTGGCAAAACATACTCAAAACACAACTCAGAATTAATGGACCCATGTCTGCAGAATTTAGCCTGTTGGTTTTAGTTTAAAAGCTGGTAGCTGCAACCAGAAGAATAAATGGATTAGGAAGTATAAAAATCAAATACTGTGCTTACTGAATGCTGCTGGAAATTGTGTATTTAACTTCTTAGGAATCCAGTCTTACTTGAGTTTTCCTCTTTCCTCTTAGAAGGTCTGAATTCAGGTTCCTTGTGTCCCACAGACCCCCTTGACAGGTCACTATTGATTATGTGGCGCTTAGGCCATATAAAGGGGGCATTAGTCTTAAAGGATGAGTATTCAGTCCTTTCTGAAAATTGGGCCCTCTGATAAATATTTAATTGGTCAGTCAAAAAAAAAAAAATAGTGTGGCAATATAACATCACAATTTCAGTCTTTATTCTGAATACCCAGTCTCATTTAGGAAAACAGAAGAATTGGAAAATGTGGTATCAAGGTATATACATTATTAATTTAAAACCACAGTTGTTAATGAAAACATAAGCCAGGTGGAATTTGGATGAGTAGGAGAACTTCAGCATACAGACCCCACGAGGAGCTACTTTAATGTTTTGGATTTTTTTTTTTTTTTCTTCTAATGTAAAAATCTGATTTTTCCCTTCAGTACTGTAGGGTGAGGATGTATCTGTCATACTGACCTGCAGATTTACGCTGCAATTGGCCAAGGGGAATGAGCTTGCAGGCAATTAGAACAATGGTGTAAAGCTCTGCTGTACAGCACTTGCAGACCAGTCTGGCAGCTTTGGCAGCCCTCACTTTTAATGAACACTTGCATCTACCAATGCCATAAAAAAGTTATGAGTCATAATGGATCTGCTGTACTAGATTAGCCAAAATTTGGTCAAGCACTGGCAGATCCAAGTATAGCTAATTGGAGTTGCTAGATTACTAGCATTAGTATTTCTTTATTTTAATTTTCCATGTGGTTTCCATACAAGGAGTGAATAAAGGGAATATATCAAGGCCTTTGCATCTTTGGGCTGCAGATTTGTCCTGTCTTAGCTGATAAGAGAGGAGAAACTGAAAGAAATTACCTTAGAAACCACAGAGAGAAGCAGAATTTCACTGGAAATCTAATGGATTTATATCTGCTGCTTCACTTTGAACACATCTATGATATCTGGTGACTTCACAGGAGTGCCAGTGGCCAGAAAGAGTTAAGAGAAACCAGAGAATATCTGCACTATAGACTATTTCTCCCTTCCACAGTGACTAAATTTGACATTGGAAGACATCTAACACAGAAGGAGCAGCTGTGGTGTTTCCAAGTCTTGTCTGTGCTGCTGCAGCAGCTCCTGAGGAGCAGAGGCAGTGTGGCCCTGCTCTGACTTTTGTGAAAAATGCCAATCACTTGGTTTTTAAAATTATAAAAGTTTAATAATAATAAAATGGTTATAAAAATAATAATACAATTAGAGTAATAAAGTTTAGAGTTAGGACAATTACAAGACAATAAAAAGCAAAGAATTATGGACGTCTGGATGCTCTCGGACACTAAGTCAGAGAAAGCATGCCTTGTGAACAAAGGAATCACCCTTAAAACACTACACTTGTTACATATTCATATATCCTTTATGGTTATGCATACATTCTATTCTAAACAAGAAACTCTGTCTGTTGTATGTCAACTGTTTCCTTTAATCCCCTGGCATCTTTGAGTCTGAGCAAGGCCTGAAGAAATTAGCTTCTTCTGATGAGAAAACCATAAATTCCTCTCCTTTGGAAGTTTTAGGTGTTCCTCAAAGCGAGTAGCTCATTCCTAAAAAAAAACCTTCCCCACATACATAGTTTCTATTTTAACATTATGTTGGAACCTAAAACTATATTTAACACACTACTTAAGAGAATTAACACAGCATAACTTTCTAACATTACACATATAATATTCATTGTAATATTTGAGAAAAGCCAATCATAAAATATGCATTTTTCACACTTTGCTCTTGCTGCTGAGGCACTGGCCATGGAAAGGGCACAAAGGAAGAGTTCCCAGTCACAGGGACTGCTGGGGCCTGGTGGGATTTTTAATGAGTTCTGGTTCCTGTGCATCATTAACTAGCCCAGGGAAGCGCAGTGCATCCCCACCAGCACGCTCCTGTTATGCAGGGTAGAAATCCAGGCTCACAGATAATTTGAAAAGATCTCCTAAAGACACCTGCAGATTCTGGCAGGCAGTAGCTCCTCGCAGCTGTTTCCCACCCCCTCTCTTTCCAAGGCATTGTGTGGTAAACTGGAACACTCTGTTCTCCTCAGGCATTTTATTGACATAGCAGAGGAGCTTGTCAGGAAGAGCATTTCTCAGGTACTTGGTACTGAAGTTCCTCAGATGCTGACTGCCTCCATTTTAGCTGGAATTGGGTAAGCGTTCATGAATTCCATGTCTGTTTTGGCAATATGACCATAGAGGTAGCAGGGTGAGCAGTCTTCCTCCTGAATGAAATGCTGCAAATGAAAGAAGAATGGGTAGAATTGCTGTGAATTTATTAATGTGGCATTCGGTGCCAACCTTTGGCAGTTAATCCTGTTTTTTAGTGATTGTCCTCTTGTGTTTATCCTTTTGTACCCTCCCAAGTGAGGTGTTGAGCAGCACAGGGAGGAAGCAGTGAAGATACTGGGGACACACAACATCCATTGCCTCAGCAGGGACAGAAATCTAGGGAGTACAGAGAGATGCTCTGCACACTTTTAGTTTCTTTTTTTTTAAATTTAGCTTGCCTCACCTTTTTCTTCTGTCCAACAGGTATCAAAACTTTCCTTTTTCTTAGAAAAGTCTCTATGACATTTAGATCTGGCCAAGGTTTCGTGATAGATTGGGATTGCTGGTGTTATTCACATAATCTCCTTTGATAATCTCAGTTTCAGGAATTTCTCTACTTTCCATCTGTAAAATGATGGTTCTTGAAAATCTCCACAGAGATCACTAAGTCAGCTGGGTCAAATGGCAGATTTCTGTCTGTGTTAAACACAGATGGGGATGCAGCAGAAGACTCACATCCTGTCATACTATGGCATTTTAATGAATTCTGCTAGCCCAGGTCTAAGCTTGGGCTTTTCATTTTGTGGCTAGGTACAGTATCCCACTTTATTTGGCTTTTCAGCCAGCTGGTGTTCCCAAGGTTGAAGATGCCCTAGCAGCCAGGTCTGAAATTTGGGCTGCCTGTTGCTAGGTTAAGTCATCCTTCTTAAACTAAAATAACATTTAGCTCTGATACATTTAATTTGAGTTGGTTTTAGTCCTCGTAGAGATGTGAAAAGGTCATATGTGTGTAATTATACATATAAAAGCTTTTAGATTTTTTTTTTTTATTTAAGCATGTGATGCTTTACTTTGTTCTTTTAAACAGCAAACCAGGTCAATTATAATTTTTTTTACATGGAGCTTTTGGAATATGTGTGCCTGTGGGATAAATAATAATGGATTAAAGGTGACAAGTTAAAAAAAAAAATCACTGTTCCCTCATAAGTTAATTTCCTAGTTTTCATTTGCATTAAGACCCTGAAATTCCAAAGCACGGAAATTTGAGTGTTAATGTAGGAAAAAATCAGGCTAAAAAAAAATCAGGGAAAAAAAACACAATGACTGACAAATGAGAAAACTAGCACAAAGTTCATGGCTGAGGGAAATTGAGATCAGTGATCCTACTGCAGGTGTAGGGAGAAATTCCAGCTATGGATAGTCCCAGCATTTCTCTTTCAGCGTGTCACTGGTTTTGGTGGAAACACTTTTAGATTAAGACTTTTGAGTCTCCATCTAACCCCCCCCTTTGGGTGGGAAATATGTAATTTCCCACCTCTGCAGTTCTCCATGGATTTGTCACAATCAAGCCAAGTCTGGTGCACAGCCACAGGTCTGGGCAGAGCCAGGTAAGGGGGTGCTCCCCATGTGTTGGAACTCAAAACGTCCCTCAGACATTTTTGGAGGTTCCAGGCCTTGGTCAGAAGCATTTGAGACCCTGGCAGGCAGCTGGAAACAGCTGTGATTTTGGGTTTGAACCATGGAATGATTTACCAACTTTGCAGGAAGAGCAAGAAGTCACAAAAGTTTAGATGTTATAGTAGAAGTAGTTACAAAGTAGAGGGAAGAATTTTTTTATTTTTTTCCGGGGGGGTTTTATTGCTTTTCCGGGGGGGGTTTAATTTTGTACATAGGTGTCAGAAGTTTTAAGATGGAGGGATTTGGGCCTGCCCTGTCCTTTCCTTCCTCTTTCTTCTTCCTTACCTCCATGTTCTTGGCGATGTTGGTACTCACAGATTGGTATAGAGTAGAAAAGCACCATTTATTATAGGTAATGGGCATTGGGGAAAAACTGTAACCATGTAACACGTAATGTACCATATAAAAGACAGCAGCAGCCCTGGGCAGGGAGAGAAGAAGCAGTCGGGGTCAGAGAGGATGTCAGGGTGTGTGTGTGCCTCTGCCTGAGCTGTGAGCAAACCACAGCAGCCCGAAGAGAAAATCTTTTAGATAACTTGCAATAAACTGCCTTGAGACTGAACAACAGAGACTGCTGAGCCTTTCTTTGAAAGCACAGGTTGGAGGAGAGATTTTTCCACCACACGAAGCCACCCTGTGACCTAGGGTGGGCTTTGACACCCATGGGGGCTGTGCTCCCTGTCCTCACTTTTAACTTTTCTGCTGGACTTTGTGGGGAGCTGGTGCTGCTCTCCAGAAGGTTCAGTGTGGTTCTGCCTCAGCCCTGCAGCCCCTCTGTATTCAGAGGCACAATAGAGATGGTAGCTTTCTGCCTAGAGAGCCGCTGAGCAATGAAAAAATAGTTTATTGTGTATCCTCACTGAGTTATTTCTTTTCCTTTCAGGGAAATGGGGCTGCTGTGATAGCATTTCTCTTTGCAGGTGGAATTGGAAATACTGAAATAAATTATGGAGAACCAGGGTGTTTCCGGTGAGAATAAATATTTAATGAGAACAAGGGTTGTGCTCATTCTGACTGATACTAAAGTACTGCATGAATGTTAATTTTAATGCATAAAATATATGCTTTAACTTAAAAATTCAGAGTGAACAGCCTTGGAGCAAGTGTGTATTAAGTGTGTGACAGCTGTCTCTGTGGATGATGATAATATAGAAGTGTCTTATTTTTTTTTTTTCTGTCCCAAAGCTTTTTAATTTACCCATCAATCAGTAAGGGAACAGTGGAATCTTGAAGTGCTTGCTATCCAAGACAATTTTTGGAGGTGTGTGTTCTTTCATATTGTATCTAGGCTGTGTTCACTCCAACCATTGGCTTCACTTAACTGTTTCTGTCTCAGATTAAAAAATAATCAGAATAATGATAAGTAGGTTTGGTTGGTTGGTTGTGGGGTTTTTTTTGTGTTGGACCAATGTACAGGATTGGTACAAAGGTGCCTGTTTGTGTGTACTGTCTTGCTAGTTAACAGGAATTAACTAGTGACTGTTACAAGTGACTTGCAAACTCACAAATTATTTTCAAGTTCAAATGGTCATGATCCCAGAGTTTACAGCACATCATTCCACGGACTGGGATGCAGGAGCAGGCTTGGGCTTTGTAACCAACTCTGGAACCATTACTTGTTCCTTTAGGCAACACAAGAGAATGGATAAATCCTGGTCTCATTTCCTTCACTGCTCGCAATAAATAATTAATCATAGGTTAAATAATGGGTCTGTCTTTTGCAGTTTCCAGGGTGTCCCACCCCCTTGGGGCTTTTTGTCTAAACTGTGGGATCCCCCTGGCTCGCTGTGATCTCATCTCACCAAGAGCCTTTCTCTTCATAACCCTCTGTCAAATATCCCTGTTTTGAGGGTTCCCTTCCTGCCTGAAGGTAAAGTCACTTTGAAATGGTTTTCCTGTGCAAAGGTCCAATTGAAGTAGCTATTAATTTTCCAAAGTGCAGTCACTGGCCATGATATCTAATGGTTGCTTTGTAAATGTCCTCAGAGTGGGGAGAGATGCATAATTGAGGCTTCTAAAGCTCGTGACTGACTCACTGTGCGTGGATGTGCTTGGGGCTTTATCCACTCCATAACCTGGAGGCATAAATAGACTCACAAATCATTGCATAACGGGGCCTTGCCTGCAATTTAGAATAAAGGTCTCTCAGCACAGCCACTAATGCATTTTGTGAACTTGGATGACCTCTGTTGACCTCATTTTTTAGTTTCTAAAATGGAAAATAGTAGTATTTTGCCAAGGTAACGTTTACAGAGGTGAAGCCTTTTGTTAAATGCTTTGCAATTCACAGGTTAAGTGATTTGGAGACAGAAGTGTATTTAAATTGTTACTGAAGAAAAAAAATCTCAGGTCTTTTGCATGAAAGATCTGCATGTATTTAAAATAAAACCAAGAGAGCTGTCATACTACATTAGAAGAGTAGTAATAGACTTAGCTCACAGCAGACTGCTGAGGAGAAAAGCTGCCATTATTTCCCTGTTTAGGTCTCCTTTCATATGGCTGTGTTTAGATAAGAACTGTAATACAGTCTGTTCTCTCTCATTGTTTGGTTTGTGCAGGCACAGGCTTGCTGCAGGAAGTGGTGTATCTAGTGAGTCAGGGAGCTGATCCAGATGAGATTGGACTAATGAATATAGATGAGCAACTTCCAGTCCTAGAGTACCCTCAGCCTGGTCTGGACATCATCAAGGTACAATTTATTGCAAAGAAAGTCTTTCAGCATTTGGGTGTCTTTATTCTCATTTCATTTCATCCTGTGTCCTTCTCGTCAGCAGACTTGTTCAGATTGTTGCAATGATTCTAAGTGTTAATAGGTTATTTTAAATGGCTTTTATTAATCTTCATTGTGTTCTGTTTCATACTTTAAATGTATCTCCATGTCCTAAATATCGTGGCAGTGGGTTTTCTGAATCAAGGTTCCAGGCCTCTTTTGCTTATGTAAATAAGAGCTGGCCAAATGAGGCAAATTTGCTTTGATTCTTTCCCTGAAATTGTGAAAGAGTAACCAAAAATGCAGATATCCATGCATCTGTATTCCCACTGCTCCGAATTTACACATCTCAATCTTTAGATCCACAGATCCTGGCTCCCTGCAGACACTGTAGGGTGCAATTTGAGGGATCTGGAATATCCTGCATGAAATTCCACACTGCTAAGAGTCCCTTGAAGTCCAGCTGCATGGCACATGAGTGTGATCTTGTCCTTGCTGCAGCCACTTCTGACAGAGGCACGTCTTGGAATTTTTAGGAAAACTATACAGGGCCATCCTGTAACAGCTGCAAGCTGAGGCTGGCAGGGATAGAATTAAGCTGCTTGTGGTCAATAACAACAGCCTCAGCCTACTTTAGGCTGAAAGTATTTAGAGGTCAGAGACTGCTCTTCTTTTTCGTCTGTGATGCCTAATCCAGTGAGACCTCAGTGCTACCCTGCTGCAAAAAAGTGGTGGCAGTAGTAAGAGGTTTAGTTTGAGATTACACATTCTTATTTATGCCATGTGCTAGAAGCTTGTTCAATATGGATTTATTGCATTTTTAATAGCAAAGCATGATTCATATAATGAGACAATTTTGTATCAAATTACAGAAAAAATATTGCTTGAAAGACGTTTGCACACTCAAACCTGTGAGCCTAATTCTGAGGATAAAATAAAATGCAAGGATAAAATCTGGAAGAAGTTAGGGGACATGTTTTCAGAGCTTCTAGTATTTTTCAAGGATTTTTAGTGGAGGCATCACTGGAAATAAAGTGAGTTTGATATTAAGAATCTTCATTCTCTTTCTGAGAAGATCCTGCAAATGGACACACTTTGAAAACAAAAGGGATAAACCCCAAAATGACAAAACCCCCAACACATTATCCAACCTTTTGATATTTAAAAACCAGATGTAACTCCCTGACCTGATTTTGGGTCCCAAACTCCTGTTAATTTTAGGAAGCGAATTTGTGAATGGAAGTCAGTGTAGTAGAGGGCCTTGAGTGTGACAGTTCAGGCCAGCTCAGGATGTGCACTGGAGCAGTGCTCAATAGGAAGCTCAATAGGAAGCAATTCTCTCTGCTTTATTTTAGGAGCTGACATCCCCTCGCCTCATCAAAAGCCACCTGCCCTACCGGTTTTTGCCTTCCGACCTCCACAACGGCAACTCCAAGGTGAAAATGAGCTCGTGTTTGTTTTAACTCTGCTGGCAGCAGTTGTGTGAGTGCTTTGGGATGAGGAAAAAGTTTTCAACAAGATGATTTTCCCCCCCATCACAGGTAATATACATGGCTCGCAACCCCAAAGACCTGGTGGTGTCTTATTACCAGTTCCACCGCTCCCTAAGGACCATGAGCTACAGAGGAACGTTTCAGGAGTTCTGCAGGAGGTTTATGAATGACAAGTGTAAGGAGCTGTTCTCTCTGTACACATTTATTTTCATCTCTGCGTTCCTTCTGCAAGTACAGAAGTGAACTGGATAAAGGTGCATTTGTTTTGCATATACAGCAAGGAGGTTGCTGTGGATAGTGCTGCGGGGATTGAGATTTGTCCATGCAAATTATGAGCCGTGCTTTTTGTAAATATTTGCCTTACAGTATTTGACCCCCTGGGTACAGCAGTTTTCCACTTGAACCAGAGAAAAACTCTGGTGTACTCTTCTGAAATTCAGTTTGCAAGGTGCCAGGCACCTGCTAAAAAGGGGTGAATACTCCCAGCATCATTTGATTTCAGTTATGCCTCACTATCAGCTGCTTCTCAGGAGTGGTCTTCAGGTTTGGGGTTATTTTTCTGGTAATTCCTTTAATATTTAAATTTCAGCCAAAAGCTCAAGGTTCATACCTGGGAAGTTAACATCAAATTCTCTAGTTTGCATGGGCCTTACCTGGAGTGCACGAGTGAGCTCGAGTGAGATCCCATGAGAAGGCAGCTCTGTGAGGAGACTGCAATAACCAAGGGATTGCCACACTCTCTAGCTAAGGAAGAGAAAAATTCCTGCTGCCTTTTATTTCTCTGCAGTATCTCCTCTGATACCTTAATGTGACACTAAGAATTCAGCAGGTACCTTGAGCTCTGAGAGGAGGATCTCCTCTAGATCCAGAGCAACAAACCTGGAATTTAGGGGAGCTGATGCTGAAGGAGCTGTGTAATGCCAAAGGGAAGTAAAAAGTAAAGTCTACCAATGGAGGTTATTTAACAGGCCTTAAGGAACCTTTGCTGCTCCTTATCCTGCAAGCTTGAGCAGGATTAATGCTCTCCTCCCATTCCAGCCCACCTTCAGTTTTCCATTTGCATTTCCTGGGAATGGAATGTTTGCCTGTAGCCCCTGATCAGGAACTTCTAGACCAGAGACATAAGAAAGACACTTTAGAAGGTCTTCTAAAATAAAAAGGTTGGGCACTCTTTTCCATGGAAGTATCCCAAGAGTTTTTTGTCTCTTTATCTTGTAGCAGCTACCTGACTTTATCAAGACCTCCCAGAGCCAATAAAGCATCACAGCATGTTCTGTGCTGCTGTAAATATTTGCCTTGCAGTATTATTTGCCATATTTGTCATTATTATATTATTATTTGCCATAACTGTACAAGTGGGAGGCTTGCAATGCACAGGAAATTTAGTATTCAGCTGCATGTTTACATCTCAGCAGAATCCTGGCAACTTGAACTTGTCAAATGGACAAAGAGATCCGTTTCATAGGAAAACAATCGTATTCAACAGACCAATTTTCAATTTTCATAAAGGCACTGAGATTCCATTTTTGTTTTTTCCATTCCATAAGAAATGGATGCATGAATTTACCAGAATGAAGCAATTCTTTTTCAAAGAGAGAAGGTGGCTTCAAAATACAAACCTAAGAAATTTGTTTTATAATTTTTCTATAGCTGCTTTGCCAAAAAGATAATATTGACCCCCCCCCAAAAAAAGGGAAAGAATTTAAAAACTCCTTATTTGCTTAATTCCTACCTTGATTATGTGAAGCACTTAGTGAGAATTAGTCACTGGTAAGGAAAAAAATGCAGAATGCATTTCTTGTGGGGTTGTCTTCTAATCCTGGCAACAAAAGAGATTCTTGAGGTTGTAAATACCAAGTACCAGTGGCTGCACCTCTGGTAGAGACACACAGATTGGCTGAAATCAGTGCAAATGTGGATTTAATCAGAGAACTGGAAAACAAATGAGTAAAGTTTGGGGGCAGGGTTAGGTCTCCCATTACATGGGTCAAAATGAGACACTTCTCTCCTGGGGCTATGAACCACTCCAGTTATTTCCTTTTTCTTTTTTTTTTTTTTTTTCCTTTTTGAATACAGCTTAATAACCAAAGTGTTCATTTTCCTCATGCCAATCATAATGTTTTTGCAGTAGGATATGGTTCGTGGTTTGAACATGTGCAAGAGTTTTGGGAACACCACATGGATGCCAATGTACTTTTTCTCAAGTATGAAGATATGCATAAGGTAGGTTAGATGTTTTTATCACATCTAGCACCCTAGTTTTTAAAATACATAAAGCACAAAATTATATCCTTATGTCCATATTTGGGCTCCCTAATGCCTGATACCATTTTTAAAGCACTGGCTTTAAAGATTCAGTAGCTTCTACAGACTTTAGGCATTTTTATATCCATATTAATTTACTGGGGAGTCTGCCTGCATGTATAGGCACTGAACTACTTGCACAGAAGGCAGTGATGCAAAACTGTTCAGTACTTGCTATACTCAGCCCTGGGTATTCATTTAAAAGAAATGTCTTGCTCTATGTGCTGCATCAATGAGGGAAAAAATATATAATCACTATTTTGTCCTTTGTATTTGGCATTTATCAGAATTATTTGGTTGTTCTGGTTTCTGTGAAACAAATCTGAAAACAATGAGGGTATGATCATGTAGCATAAGGTAGATATAATTATTGAGTCCTTACAGTATGCTGTCTAATAAATCCACTTAAATAAGAAATTTAGTGGAAATACTACATATTTCTTATTGCAGTAATATCTTTTTGATGGCTAATGAAAATATTTCAGAATGTTTATTTGACTGGAAAACTAATGCAAGCATAGATAAAACCCAGCTCCTGTTTCTAAACCTGTAAGAAGAGGAAATCGGGGCAAGACTCAATAAAGCTTGGGTGAATGATAATTCCAACTTTACTGAGCCTTCTGATGGGGTGGCATTCTAAAAGAAGGTGTATTACAATCAGAGTAAATGAAGTTTAGTGTAAATCATTTCAATTCCATGGTTTTGAATAATTAATGTATTCTTAGGTGTGCTCACCAGCTGGTGGCATCACAGCATCCTTCTGCCTCTTAATAAATATTACTGTTTTGTCATTGCAACTCACACTGAGGAACCCTGGAATTCT